CACGGGATGTATGGACCTTTAGAGATTAAACCACGGGATGTGTGGAGGTTAAACCACGGGATGTGTGGAGGTTAAACCACGGGATGTGTGGAGGTCAAACCACGGGATGTGTGGAGGTTAAACCACGGGATGTGTGGAGGTCAAACCACGGGATGTGTGGACCTTTAGAGGTCAAACCATGGGATGTGTGGACCTTTAGATGTCAAACCACGGGATGTATGGACCTTTAGAGATTAAACCACGGGATGTGTGGAGGTTAAACCACGGGATGTGTGGAGGTTAAACCACGGGATGTGTGGACCTTTAGAGGTCAAACCACGGGATGAGTGGAGGTTAAACCACGGGATGTGTGGACCTTTAGAGGTCAAACCACGGGATGTGTGGAGGTTAAACCACGGGATGTGTGGACCTTTAGAGGTCAAACCATGGGATGTGTGGACCTTTAGATGTCAAACCACGGGATGTATGGACCTTTAGAGATTAAACCACGGGATGTGTGGAGGTTAAACCACGGGATGTGTGGAGGTTAAACCACGGGATGTGTAGAGGTTAAACCACGGGATGTATGGACCTTTAGAGGTCAAACCACGGGATGTGTGGAGGTCAAACCACGGGATGTGTGGACCTTTAGAGGTCAAACCACGGGATGTATGGACCTTTAGATGTTAAACCACGGGATGTGTGGAGGTCAAACCACGGGATGTGTGGAGGTCAAACCACGGGATGTGTGGACCTTTAGAGGTCAAACCACGGGATGTGTGGAGGTAAAACCACGGGATGTGTGGACCTTTAGAGGTCAAACCACGGGATGTGTGGAGGTCAAACCACGGGATGTGTGGAGGTCAAACCACGGGATGTGTGGAAGTTAAACCACGGGATGTGTGGAGGTCAAACCACGGGATGTGTGGAGGTCAAACCACTGGATGTGTGGACCTTTAGAGGTCAAACCATGGGATGTGTGGACCTTTAGATGTCAAACCACGGGATGTATGGACCTTTAGAGATTAAACCACGGGATGTGTGGAGGTTAAACCACGGGATATGTGGAGGTTAAACCACGGGATGTGTAGAGGTTAAACCACGGGATGTATGGACCTTTAGAGGTCAAACCACGGGATGTGTGGAGGTCAAACCACGGGATGTGTGGACCTTTAGAGGTCAAACCACGGGATGTATGGACCTTTAGATGTTAAACCACGGGATGTGTGGAGGTCAAACCACGGGATGTGTGGAGGTCAAACCACGGGATGTGTGGACCTTTAGAGGTCAAACCACGGGATGTGTGAAGGTTAACCACGGGATGTGTGGAGGTAAAACCACGGGATGTATGGACCTTTAGATGTTAAACCACGGGATGTGTGGAGGTCAAACCACGGGATGTGTGGAGGTCAAACCACGGGATGTGTGGAAGTTAAACCACGGGATGTGTGGAGGTCAAACCACGGGATGTGTGGACCTTTAGAGGTCAAACCACGGGATGTGTGGAGGTCAAACCACTGGATGTGTGGACCTTTAGAGGTCAAACCACGGGATGTATGGACCTTTAGAGATTTTTAGTGAGATGTTAACAATTTTGTCTGAATTTAGTCACATTTAACCTGTTGCAGTGAGAAAAACACACACTCATTTATAAATATATTGAATTTTATACATCTCTGTGTATTTGTATATGGTCTTTTGACTGCTTAGTTAACTGAGTTCTATATTCAACTGCGAAGTCAAAAGTTCACATTGTAGCCACCCATGGACAGAAATAGCAACGACCTTAGGGATAAGGGTCTCTGTAATACTCATACTAATCTATCTTTCCAAAATTATCCATGTCACAAAACTCACCCTGGCGATGAGGGCACGCTGACCTTGATTTATCCGCCAGTCAGGTTGGGTTGGGGGAAGTCTGTGTGTGTGTGTGGGGGGGGGGTGCGAGGTGTGTATCTCTTTCTACCAATCAAATTGTGCCCTTTTAAAATCTGAGAAACCTAAGACTGTTTTAATGTTAATTTACTCGAGGGTTGATCGAGTGATGTTAGGCTTGAGACTGTCTTAATTAATATTAATACTTTATTTATTGTTTTCCTGTACATTTTTTTTTAATGTTTTTAGCTAAGTGAGAGTTCCCAGTACATGTCTTAGCTTTGCTTGTAATATTTCTTTTAACTCGATGTCCGTGTATTTTGTAAAATAAAATCTGAATTTATTCCTTATTTCCCTTATAGTCGATCTATAAATAGACGTTGCTACTAGTCTGTTTTCGTCTTCTGTTCTTTGTCTAGTCATGTTAATTAAGTTAAGTGCGATTGCTTTATTTGTTGTGGCTGTTTGATTGGTGGTTTTTAATATTTTTCCAAGTGTTTGCTTTGCTTTCTGTTTTAGTATACAATTCTCAGTTTCATGCATTGTTTACACGTTTGATATGTTATTTTAACATTTTGATTTGACATTGCATTTCGTGAAACTGGAGTTGTATAAAAAAATTACTCTGTATAATACTTCCCTTTCTTTTGGTATAATGCGTTTATTATGTAGGTTTCTAAATGTATCTTTATTGTCTATTATATTGTGTTCCCTGGCCCAACTAATTCTCGTGTATAAGGGTGTCGCTTGTTGTTTGATTAGGATGTCTTATTTGTGTGCGTGTCTTCTCCAATACTGCATTTCTTTCCTTAGAATGTTTGCTAGCGTTTCTTTATAAAAGCTGCCTATGTCATTTCCCCCATAGTGTGGTGTTATGATGTTTAATTTCAGAATGCTCCTTATGTTTAACTCTATGTAGTATTGTGCTAATGGATGATAATGTGGTTCTATCTTTATTCTATCCAGGTGTTTTAATCGGAAGGTGTTTAATTTAGTATGAATGTCGTGTAGCCCCATTCCTCCATTTAATTTATTTTGTATTAAGGGTTTGTGGCTAATGTTTCTAATCGTGTTTTTTGAAAATGAACTCTCTAATGTGCTTGTTTGTTTTAATCAGACCGATAGACTAGGGATAAGAAAGGTAACTATAGTCCTTAAGTGAATCAAATCCGGGCGTCCTCCGGCACCCCGACAGGGTGCTATTTGGCGTCCCGGGTTTTCCCGTGTTCGCTATTGCTCCTACGTTCATTTACGTGACTGCAAAAGACTATGAATAAGTTGGGGTACTATAGTCGTTTGCTAAGCTGAAACGGGCGATTCCGCCGGCGCCCCAGCATGGTGCAATTTGGCGCCCTGACCGAGACTGTGAGCACTTTGCGTTTATAGTTCGCGTTTGTATTTTCTTTCTGTTTGGGTTGGGTTTGCGTTTGTAGTTGGGTTTGTGTTTGGATTTGGTTTGTTTTGTTTTGTTTTCGTTTGCTTTTTTGCTTGCGTTTGTGTTTGTTTTCATTGTGTTTATGTTTGCGTTTGTGGTTGGGTTTGTGTATGTGCTTTCTTTTGTATGTCTGTTTGCGTTTGTGTTTTTTTGTGTTTTGGTTTTGGTTGGTTGTGGTTAGGGTGGGCAATGCCGTGTATCTGCTGATTACACATATGTCATGGTCCTTTGCAGATAGGTTTTTCACAGAGGCCAGTGCAGGGCCTGGCCGGAACGGCTACTTTATATATATATATATATATATATATATATATATATATATATATATATATATATATATATATATATATATATATATATACTGTTGTTTAGATATAATAACCGACCAGCAATGGATATCCCTATCACAATCCTGCCCTAACCTTGTCGTGGCTCTAGACGTGCATGAAGAACTATATCGTGAGGACACTCTTTCCCCCTACATACCTCTGGTCAGTCTGACTACATTGTACCAGGGCAGCAAGGGCCAGGCTGACATGGTGAGTCATGTCACACACACACACACACACACACACAACAGGCAGCAAGGACCAATCAGACATGGTGAGTCATGTCACACACACACACACACACAACAGGCAGCAAGGACCAATCTGACATGGTGAGTCATGTCACACACACACACACACACACACACACAACAGGCTGCAAGGGCCAATCTGACATGGTGAGTCATGTCACACACACACACACACACACACACACACACACACAACAGGCAGCAAGGACCAATCTGACATGGTGAGTCATGTCACACACACACACACACAACAGGCAGCAAGGACCAATCAGACATGGTGAGTCATGTCACACACACACACACACACAACAGGCAGCAAGGACCAATCTGACCAGGTGAGTCATGTCACACACACACACACACACACACACACAACAGGCTGCAAGGGCCAATCTGACATGGTGAGTCATGTCACACACACACACACACACACACACACACACACACAACAGGCAGCAAGGACCAATCTGACATGGTGAGTCATGTCACACACACACACACACACAACAGGCAGCAAGGACCAATCTGACATGGTGAGTCATGTCACACACACACACACACACAACAGGCAGCAAGGGCCAGGCTGACATGGTGAGTCATGTCACACACACACACACACACAACAGGCAGCAAGGACCAATCTGACCAGGTGAGTCATGTCACACACACACACACACACAACAGGCAGCAAGGACCAATCTGACATGGTGAGTCATGTCACACACACACACACACACAACAGGCTGCAAGGGCCAATCTGACCAGGTGAGTCATGTCACACACACATACACACACACACACACACACACGGAGAGAGCAGACATTGAGGGATGGACCATGTATTAGACACGGGTTTTTTTTCATAAGATGACCCGCCCCCATCTATTTTAGAAAGAAATAATGCACATTTTGCACAAGTTAAAAAATAATATTTCACATGCCTTTTTGCGTGCATATAATTAATTTATTAATTTAATTATTCATGATTATCTCATGGAATATATATATATATATATATATATATATATATATATATATATATATATATATATATATATATATACGTCTCTCTGTAGCTTTCTATTGCCACGTTGGCGCTCCAGTATGAGCATAAAATGGAAGAAATGAATCTTGGCCATTACTTGGAGCGTGACTTGACTGATATATTTATTCAACATATCGAAAAGTTCCAGCGATTGCGGACGTTTTCTCTGACCATCCCCATCAAAACAAGGAAAAACGTAACTATTGTGTGTCTGTTGATGTCGTTATCTTAGTGGTTAGCGATGGTGACAACGATACAACACTCGTTAGGGTCATGTTAGCGTTACCAGCATCTAAATTATCTGGGCCACGGGACTAGACATACGGATTTCACTTGTAATAAACGCTTTACTGAACAAAATATGTGGGACTAGACATACGGATTTCACTTGTAATTAACGCTTTACTGAATAAAATATGTGGGACTAGACATACGGATTTCAATTGTTATAAACGTGTAATGAAGTCAATTTTTGTCATGTTTATTTTTTACAGAAACTCTTTTTGAAAGCGTTTTGCGACATGCTAAAAAGAAACAGTGTATTGAAGAACGTTACTTTTAATTTCGTGGGTCGGAGAGGTGTTGGCCGGCAACTGCTTGAGGAAATTGACAGGCTGTTGGTAGACATGAGAGAATGGGTGGAGCGGGGCTTGCTCATCACATTCAATTTGGATGCAGAACGATAGAATGCTTGCTGGTGATGTATTATCTAATTGTCCTAATACTCAGTCATAAATTCTCATAAAGTGTTGGTGATGTATGATCTACATGTGTTGACAGTGATTCATATCTGGCATAGACAATTTATTTTCAAATCTTTTTTTTAATTTGATAATTGAAAATAAAAATAATTTGAGCAGGAAAACTGTTTCCAAAGTGTCTTACTGCTAACAACGCTAACCTTGTCTCTCTGTCAGTCTGTTTTGTGTGTCTCATCTAACTGGCCTTATTTCTCCTGTTGAAAAAAATTTCTAGCAAGTTAGCGGCAACGAACGAATTGAAATCGGCTCAGTTTTAAATCTGTCGTTTAATGGAGAGTTTTAAATCTGAGCCAATTTCAATTCACATCGTGATCACCGCTACTCGCGTGGACCTTTTAAAGATTCCATAATTTTCTTCACAGAATCGTACGTTGTTCTATTTTAATTGTATACTGAAAGAAATTTAAAACATTTGGCACGAGTAAATTTCTTGATGATATTTAAATTATTACTTATCAGTGAATGTATTGTTCATCATATGCACATTTTTATAATGCTTCAGGTGAAAATGCATGTGAAAATAGTTTTTTGTTTAATTTTTCATTAATATGATAACTAATTAAAAAGAAATGTTTGTTTTTCTGATTTTGTTTCAGAAATAAAACATGTAACTCATTATGTTAATATTACTTTTATACTAATTGTAAGGTTATCAAAAAAGTATTTGCATTAAATATGTTATGCTTTAATCTTACAGTCGTGTTGCGGTTACTTTTGTCTAATATATTGTGTGTTTGTTGATTTTTTTTGTTGAGCAATACGTTACATTTCTAATTGTGTCATTACACTGTTATTAAATACGCTGTGTAAAAAGTGCTTTCTCTGGTGAATGATGTAAATATTGTAGTTAGAAACTAGAACTGTAGCGCCACGTACATCGAGCGATCTTAGTACAGTTGGGCCGGGAATTTAGCTCTGCTATATTTAGTCACCAACTGTCGTATGAGAAAACAAATGGTTACGTCTGTCGTTGGATCGTGAGCAGCCAGCAGAGTTTCTTCCAGGCATCTCCCCCCCCCCCCATCCCCCCCCCCCCCATCCCCCCCACGCCCCCAATTAGATGAGTGACTTCTTCACGCAGTCGATTGCTGACCTTTCTTCTAGCATAAAATTGACAGTAACCTGTCTTAAACTGCTGTGACCTTTTAGCATTGCACAATATGCTGACTCAGCATATTGTAGGACCCTGTACGTGTTCTCTCATCCTCTCGCACACAACCGACAGCTCACGCCCTACACGGAGTGAATGACAACACTACGGGAATATCCGATTTTATTCTACCAGAAACATTGGCGCGTAAAACATTTTCATCTTGTTAGTAGAGTTGTCAAATTGTCCAGAGAAAGTTGCAATTGTCCAGAGAAAGTTGCAATTGACCAGAGAAAGTTGCAATTGACCAGAGAAAGTTGCAATTGACCAGAGAAAGTTGCAATTGACCAGAGAAAGTTGCAATTGACTTGAGAAAGTTGCAATTGACTTGAGAAAGTTGCAATTGTCCTTCTAAATCAACAAATTGCTTAAAACGGCCCCATGTGTCTGCCCATAACATTCCACGTCTCTTGATGTCAAGTGACATGTCTTGATGTCAAGTGAGATGTCTAGATGTCATATGTCATATAATTTTAAGGCCGGTCCCCATGTACCACTACAATAACCAATAGATCCCTACGTATCCCTACAATAACCAATAGGTCCCTATGTACCACTACAATAACCAATAGATCGCTACGTATCCCTACAATAACCAATAGGTCCCTATGTAGCCCTACAATAACCAATAGGTCCCTATGTACCCCTACAATAACCAATAGGTCCCTATGTACCCCTACAATAACCAATAGGTCCCTATTTACCCCTACAATAACCAATAGGTCCCTATTTACCCCTACAATAACCAATAGGTCCCTATGTACCCCTACAATAACCAATAGGTCCCTATTTACCCCTACAATAACCAATAGGTCCCTACGTACCCCTACAATAACCAATAGGTCCCCATGTACCCCTACAATAACCAATAGGTCCCTATGTAACCCTACAATAACCAGTAGGTCCCTATGTACCCCTACAATAAACAATAGGTCCCTATGTAACCCTACAATAACCAGTAGGTCCCTATGTACCCCTACAATAACCAGTAGGTCCCTACGTACCCCTACAATAACCAATAGGTCCCTACTTACCCCTACAATAACCAGTAGGTCCCTACGTACCCCTACAATAACCAATAGGTCCCTACTTACCCCTACAATAACCAGTAGGTCCCTATGTACCCCAACAATAACCAGTAGGTCCCTACGTACCCCTACAATAACCAATAGGTCCCTATGTACCCCTACAATAACCAGTAGGTCCCTACGTACCCCTACAATAACGTTTGATGAGCCCACATTCCCGTAGAAAAACCAGGTGTTCTAGAAACTATTTGTGTTTAGTCAACTGTTAAATCCGGGATTGTGTGGAAAATATTTATTTATAAATTATATGTTTACAAATATAAAGAAAACATTATATGTTTACTAATATAAAGTACATGTAAGATATATACCAATATAAAGTACATGTTATATGTTTAGCAATATAAAATACATGTTACAAGTTTAGCAATATAAAATACATGTTATATGATTACCAATATAAAATGCATGTTATATGTTTACCAATATAATGTCCCTTTACAGTCTTTACCTATATAAACTACACATTAAATTCTTTATCATATAAATTACACATTAAATTCTTTATCATATAAACTACACATTAAATTCTTTATCATATAAATTACACATTAAATTATTTATCATATAAATTATACATTAAATTCTTTATCATATAAATTACACATTAAATTCTTTATCATATAAATTACACATTAAATTCTTTATCATATAAATTACACATTAAATTATTTATCATATAAATTATACATTAAATTCTTTATCATATAAATTACACATTAAATTCTTTATCATATAAATTACACATTAAATTCTTTATCATATAAATTACACATTAAATTATTTATCATATAAATTATACATTAAATTCTTTATCATATAAATTACACATTAAATTCTTTATCATATAAATTACACATTAAATTCTTTATCATATAAATTACACATTAAATTATTTATCATATAAATTATACATTAAATTCTTTATCATATAAATTACACATTAAATTCTTTATAAAAAAAAGTAGATATTATGTTGTCAGTTTTTAAAGGCATGATGTCTAGATAACATCAGGTCGAGATGACACCAGGTCTTGATGACACCAAATGACATCATATGACACCAGATGACATCAGATGACGTCAGATGAGGTCCTCCTCACGGTTGAGGCCGAGCTGGACGTTGAAGAACTGCGAGACCCTCCTGACGATGGACTGCCTCCTCCTCCCCACCTCCTGCTCGATCCTCTCCCGGTCCTCCTGTCTCATGATCATCCTCTCGGGGTCAGCCAGTGCAAACCGCCTGGTTCTCAGCCGGTCGGAGACGAGCGGCACGCCCGAGTCGCTCCGTGACGTCAGCGGGCCGCCATGTTTGACCTCGTTTTGAGGAGACGCCGTGTTGAGCTCGTGCTGCGAGCCTCCCATCTGGGTCAGGATGACATTTCTGTGGGCGTGGCTCTTTGACCTCACCTGCTCCAGAATCTGGTCAAGGTCGATGCACCACTCGTCGTCGTCGTCGTCGTCGTCAAGGTCACCGACGCCGTAGGACCTGTCGCCGTAGGACCTGACGCCGTAGGACCTGACGCCGTAGGACCTGACGCCGCCGGTGTAACCAAAGAACGACAACTGGTCTCGACCTTCCAGCGCCATGTCGCTGATGCTTCTCTTGATGGCACCACGACCCGGAAGTAGTTTATGCCCGCCCGGAAGTGGTTTGTTATCGCGCCAGTACGGCCCCTGTGACAGCTGCTTGTTGCTGCAGCGCGATGACCTTGACCCAGTTCGTTGTGTGATGCTCTGGACCACGTCTTTCGCTTCGTCCAGATCGATGACGTCATCGGATAGCCTGTTGTGATGTGTGGTGTTTCCGGTTTTGTTTAGACCGGAAGTGGAATGGGCGGCAAGCTGAGACAACTCTGGGTGAGCATCCGGTGCTGGCTGCTGGTCGCTGACCCAATCTTTGGTGGACAGGTGGGCGGTGGCTTGATCTAGTGAACTCAGGTCACCGTGACATACCTCTGGGTTTATGAGGAAGGTGTGGTTTGTGGGGGCGGTGTGGTTTGTGTGGGCGATGTGGTTTGTGGTGGCGGTGTGGTTTGTGTCGGTGTTAAGTCCACACCTTGTGACTTTGGTGTTAGAAGTTTCCTTTAATTTTCCACTTTGTTTTTTACAAGGTCCATTCATGTCGTCTCTTAGAGGGTCGGATGTGTTCCTTGTTGATGTGGAAGCTCGTAATGTGTGGGGAGGTGGTGTTTGTTGAGGTGGTGTGTGGGTAATTGGTGTTTGGTGAGGTGGTGTGTGGGTAAGTGGTGTTTGTTGAGGTGGTGTTTGTTGAGGTTGTGTGTTGGTAAGTGGTGTTTGTTGAGGTGGTGTGTGGGTAATTGGTGTTTGTTGAGGTGGTTTGTGGGTAAGAGGTGTTTGTTGAGGAGGTGTTTGTTGAGGTTGTGTGTGGGTAAGTGGTGTTTGTTGATGTGGTGTATGGGTAAGTGGTGTTTGTTCAACACAGCCTGTGTTTTCCATTGACGCCCCGCCAGTGTGTGACGTCACTTCCGTCACACCAGTTCTGCTGGTGATGAAGATGTCCCAAGGTCTGCCGGTTGACGCTGTTTTCTTGGGCGTGGTGATGTGGAGGTTGTGGCTGTCCACACCCCCACACGCGGGTGTTTTCGTGGGTGTGGTGATGTGGATAGTAGAGCTGTCCACGCTTCCACATGTGGGTCTAGCAGACAGCACAACGTCACTTCCGTTCTTCAGCTGACCAGCAAAATGGCGGACCTTGTTGTCGCCCTTGGGAGCCACGTACCTTATACACGCCATGTATCTGGTGCTAAAGTTGACCTCAAGTTGACCTCAAGTTGACCTCAAGTTGACCTCAAGTTGACCTCAAGTTGACCTTAAGTTGACCTCAAGTTGACCTTAAGTTGACCTTAAGTTGACCTCAAGTTGACATCAAGTTGTCCTCAAGTTGACGTCAAGTTTCTCCGCACTGGAAAAAAAAATCAGATATTTTTTTAAGTAGTCTATTCGATTTGTACACGTTATGTTATCGCTTTTAAATCTCATGCTACTATTTATAGACATAAACGGTTATCGTAACGACGCTAATTTATAACGGGATCCAGAGTTTGGCTGTCACCACGAGCTTGTGTGCAGTCAACATTTCAATCAATCTTCAATCGATGCCCGTCTACACAGACAACAACAACAAACAGACTCGATTGAAAAGTTGCTTGTGACAATTTTTTTTTTAAACGACAAACTACTGAATTCTAAAAGGTTTGATATAATATTTAGAACTCGACTTTTAGTGTTCACGCGAGCTGATCTGTGTGTTTTATAAATGTGATTATGTCAAGGTTTCAGTCAAGGTTTCTGTCAAGGTTTCAGTGAAGGTTTAGTCAAGGTTCTGTCAAAGATTCGTGGTGTTTAGATAATTTTATAATAAGATATTTGGTGAAGTATCACATACAGTGTTTCTTCCAGACTTTTTTCTCCAGGGGAGGGGGGCACTTGAAATTTTCGGGGGGGGGGGGGGTGAGCGGACTAACATTTTTGGGGGGGCGCGGACACTGTTAAAGTATACATTTTCTATGTAAATTCCATTTCGTTCGGGGGGGGGGGACACCGGTAGATGCATGGAAGAAACTTTGATCACAGATAAGATGTTTTGTGGGGTACCACAGATAAGATGTTTGGTGAAGTACCACAGATAAGATGTTTGGTGAGGTACCACTCAACCGATAACAACCTGTAACGTAATGGACTCAACCGATAACAACCTGTAACGTAATAAACTCAACCGATAACAACCTGTAACGTAATGGACTCAACCGATAACAACCTGTAACGTAATGGACTCAACCGATAACAACCTGTAACGTAATGGACTCAACCGATAACAACCTGTAACGTAATAAACTCAACCGATAACAACCTGTGACGTAGTGGATTCAACCGATAACAACCTGTGACGTAATGGACTCAACCGATAACAACCTGTAACGTAATAAACTCAACCGATAACAACCTGTAACGTAATGGACTCAACCGATAACAACCTGTAACTTAATGGACTCAACCGATAACAACCTGTAACGTAATGGACTCAACCGATAACAACCTGTAACGTAATGGACTCAACCGATAACAACCTGTAACGTAATAAACTCAACCGATAACAACCTGTAACGTAATGGACTCAACCGATAACAACCTGTAACGTAATGGACTCAACCGATAACAACCTGTAACGTAATGGACTCAACCGATAACAACCTGTAACGTAATAAACTCAACCGATAACAACCTGTGACGTAGTGGATTCAACCGATAACAACCTGTGACGTAATGGACTCAACCGATAACAACCTGTAACGTAATAAACTCAACCGATAACAACCTGTAACGTAATGGACTCAACCGATAACAACCTGTAACTTAATGGACTCAACCGATAACAACCTGTAACGTAATGGACTCAACCGATAACAACCTGTAACGTAATGGACTCAACCGATAACAACCTGTAACGTAATAAACTCAACCGATAACAACCTGTAACGTAATGGACTCAACCGATAACAACCTGTAACGTAATGGACTCAACCGATAACAACCTGTAACGTAATGGACTCAACCGATAACAACCTGTAACGTAATAAACTCAACCGATAACAACCTGTGACGTAGTGGATTCAACCGATAACAACCTGTGACGTAATGGACTCAACCGATAACAACCTGTAACGTAATAAACTTAACCGATAACAACCTGTAACGTAATGGACTCAACCGATAACAACCTGTAACGTAATAAACTCAACCGATAACAACCTGTAACGTAATGGACTCAACCGATAACAACCTGCAACATAATGGACTCAACCGATAACATCCTGTAACGTAATGGACTCAACCGATAACAACCTGTAACGTAATGGACTCAACCGATAACAACCTGTAACGTAATAAACTCAACCGATAACAACCTGTAACGTAATGGACTCAACCGATAACAACCTGTAACGTAATGGACTCAACCGATAACAACCTGTAACGTAATAAACTCAACCGATAACAACCTGTAACGTAATGGACTCAACCGATAACAACCTGTAACGTAATGGACTCAACCGATAACAACCTGCAACATAATGGACTCAACCGATAACATCCTGTAACGTAATGGACTCAACCGATAACAACCTGTAACGTAATGGACTCAACCGATAACAACCTGTAACGTAATAAACTCAACCGATAACAACCTGTAACGTAATGGACTCAACCGATAACAACCTGTAACGTAATGGACTCAGCCGATAACAACCTGCAACATAATGGACTCAACCGATAACATCCTGTAACGTAATGGACTCAACCGATAACAACCTGTAACGTAATGGACTTAACTGATAACAACCTGTAACGTAATGGACTCAACCGATAACAACCTGCAACATAATGGACTCAACCGATAACATCCTGTAACGTAATGGACTCAATCGATAACAACCTGTAACGTAATGGACTTAACTGATAACAACCTGTAACGTAATGGATTGTAACGTTAGATGTTGACAGTATCACATTGTGTCACGTGTGTTGCAGTCAAATCTTCTTAGTTAATGAGTTTTCTCTAGCTAAATTTCTGCTCTAGCTGCAGCGATAATCGAATGATTTTCTACTTTGTTTCTCAGCTCACTAATTCTTTGTTTGTTTTGTAACCAGAAATTTAACAACTTAAAAAAATTAGTCATTGACTATTCCTGCCTCTCTGGTCGTCTAGACAATTTAAGAAAGAATCTGGGGGAAAATTTTCAATATTTGAAAATCTGTTACAATGGAATGGAAACAGATGAAGGTAAGAAATTTAGCTAAATATTTCTACACAAATTAGTAAATGTAAGGAATTTAGGTAATACTCTACACAAATTAGCGACAACTCTTTAAACACCTTTGCAAATGCTAAAGCTATATTCACAATTTAGAACAAAACCTATACACACATTAGGGATACAGAGACTGCTGGGAATAGTGCTGAGCATATAATCCCCTTGTATGCCGAGGTAAGTTAAACAGATGCACTCTATTGCATCTGTCCCACGTGTCTTGGGCGAAAACGGGAACAGATGATGATAAATAGATTTCGTCGAAACACAAGGTGTTCATGAACACAAGGTCTAAACTATGTTCAATACGAACCGATTGGCTCTAAAGATTACGGCCAGTGGCGTCATTGTTTTTGCCGATTATCCAAGTGGCGTACAGATGTACACGTTTTGGGTGCTCTTAAAAAGTAGTTGAGACACCGTATATGGCACCGTATGTGACACCATATGTGACACCATATGAGACACCGTATGTGACACCGTATGTGACACCGTATGTGACACCGTATGTGACACCGTATGTGACACCGCATGTGACACCGTATGTGACACCGTATGTGACACCGTATGTGACACCGTATGTGACACCGTATGTGACACCGTATGTGACACCGTATGTGACACCGTATGTGACACCGTATGTGACACCGTATGTGACACCGTATGTAACACCGTATGTGACACCGTATATGACACCGTATGTGACACCGTATGTGGCACGTGACAGTGAACAGGTTTCGACGTATGGGCGAAAGTTCGTATCCCAAGAAAGAGACTTGTTCAGAAAATGGTTTGATCAGGAGATGATGAGTTTCTGACAAATAAAGAATGATAAAATTGTGTCTAAAGCTGTACAGCTAAAACAAAGAGAATTGTAACAAACCATGGGATGTGTGGACCTTTAGAGGTCAAACCATGGGATGTGTGGACCTTTAGAGGTCAAACCATGGGATGTGTGGACCTTTAGAGGTCAAACCACGAGATGTGTGGACCTTTAGAGGTCAAACCACGGGATGTGTGGACCTTTAGAGGTCAAACCACGGGATGTGTGGACCTTTAGAGGTCAAACCACGGGATGTGTGGAGGTCAAACCACGGGATGTGTGAACCTTTAGAGGTCAAACTACGGGATGTGTGGACCTTTAGAGGTCAAACTACGGGATGTGTGGACCTTTAGAGGTCAAACTACGAGATGTGTGGACCTTCAAATGTCAAACCACGGGATGTGTGGAGGTCAAACCACGGGATGTGTGGACCTTTAGAGGTCAAACCACGGGATGTGTGGACCTTTAGAGGTCAAACTACGGGATGTGTGGACCTTTAGAGGTCAAACCACGGGATGTGTGGAGGTCAAACCACGGGATGTGTGGACCTTTAGAGGTCAAACTACGGGATGTGTGGAGGTCAAACCACGGGATGTGTGGACCTTTAGAGGTCAAACCACGGGATGTGTGGAGGTCAAACCACGGGATGTGTGGACCTTTAGAGGTCAAACCACGGGATGTGTGGACCTTCAAATGTCAAACTACGGGATGTGTGGACCTTTAGAGGTCAAACTACGGGATGTGTGAACCTTTAGAGGTCAAACTACGGGATGTGTGGACCTTTAGAGGTCAAACCACGGGATGTGTGGACCTTTAGAGGTCAAACCACGGGATGTGTGGACCTTTAGAGGTCAAACCACGAGATGTGTGGAGGTCAAACCACGGGATGTGTGGAGGTCAAACCACGGGATGTGTGAACCTTTAGAGGTCAAACTACGGGATGTGTGGACCTTTAGAGGTCAAACTACGGGATGTGTGGACCTTTAGAGGTCAAACTACGGGATGTGTGGAGGTCAAACCACGGGATGTGTGGACCTTTAGAGGTCAAACTACGGGATGTGTGGAGGTCAAACCACGGGATGTGTGGAGGTCAAACCACGGGATGTGTGGACCTTTAGAGGTCAAACCACGGGATGTGTGGACCTTCAAATGTCAAACTACGGGATGTGTGGACCTTTAGAGGTCAAACTACGGGATGTGTGAACCTTTAGAGGTCAAACTACGGGATGTGTGGACCTTTAGAGGTCAAACCACGGGATGTGTGGACCTTTAGAGGTCAAACCACGGGATGTGTGGACCTTTAGAGGTCAAACCACGGGATGTGTGGACCTTTAGAGGTCAAACTACGGGATGTGTGGACCTTTAGAGGTCAAACCACGGGATGTGTGGACCTTTAGAGGTCAAACCACGGGATGTGTGGACCTTTAGAGGTCAAACCACGAGATGTGTGGACCTTTAGAGGTCAAACCACGAGATGTGTGGACCTTTAGAGGTCAAACTACGGGATGTGTGGACCTTTAGAGGTCAAACCACGGGATGTGTGGACCTTTAGAGGTCAAACCACGGGATGTGTGGAGGTCAAACCATGGGATGTGTGGACCTTTAGAGAACAAACCACGGGATGTGTGGACCTTTAGAGGTCAAACCACGGGATGTGTGGACCTTCAAATATCAAACCACGGGATGTGTGGAGGTCAAACCACGGGAAGTGTGGAGGTCAAACCATGGGATGTGTGGACCTCTAGAGGTCAAACTACGGGATGTGTGGACCTTTAGAGGTCAAACCACGGGATGTGTGGACCTTTAGAGGTCAAACCACGAGATGTGTGGACCTTTAGAGGTCAAACCACGGGATGTGTGGACCTTTAGAGGTCAAACCACGAGATGTGTGTACCTTTAGAGGTCAAACCACGAGATGTGTGGACCTTTAGAGGTCAAACCACGAGATGTGTGGACCTTTAGAGGTCAAACTACGGGATGTGTGGACCTTTAGAGGTCAAACCACGGGATGTGTGGAGGTCAAACCACGGGATGTGTGGACCTTTAGAGGTCAAACCACGGGATGTGTGGACCTTCAAATGTCAAACTACGGGATGTTAGAGGTCAAACCACGGGATGTGTGGACCTTTAGAGGTCAAACCACGGGATGTGTGGACCTTTAGAGGTCAAACCACGGGATGTGTGGACCTTTAGAGGTCAAACCACGGGATGTGTGGACCTTTAGAGGTCAAACCACGGGATGTGTGGACCTTTAGAGGTCAAACCACGGGATGTGTGGACCTTTAGAGGTCAAACCACGGGATGTGTGGACCTTTAGAGATTTTTAGTGAGATGTTAACAATTTTGTCACAATTTTGTCACATTTAACCTGTTACAGTGAGAAAAACACACACTCATATATAAATATATAGTCTTTTATATATATATATATATATATATATCTGTGTATTTGTATATGTTCTTTCGACAGCTTAGTTTACTGAGCTCTATATTCAACTGCGAAGTCAAAAGTTCACATTTTAGCCACCCATGGACAGAAATAGCAACGACCTTGGGATAAGGGTCTCTGTAATACTCATACTAATCTATTTGTTCAAAATTATCCATGTCACAAAACTGACCCTGGCGATGAGGGCACGCTGACCTTGATTTATCCGCCAGTCAGGTTGGGTTGGGGGAAGTCTGTGTGTATGGGGGGGGGGGGGTGGGAGGTGTGTATCTCTTTCTACCAATCAGATTGTGCCCTTTTAAAATCTGAGAAACCTAAGACTGTTTTAATGTTAATTTACTCGAGGGTTGATCGAGTGATGTTTGGCTTGAGACTGTCTTAATTAATATTAATACTTTATTTATTGTTTTCCTGTACATTTTTTTAAATGTTTTTAGTTAAGTGAGAGTTCCCAGTACATGTCTTAGCTTTGCTTGTAATATTTCTTTTAACTCGATGTCCGTGTATTTTGTAAAATAAAATCTGAATTTATTCCTTATTTCCCATATAGTCGATCTATAAATAGCCGTTGCTACTAGTCTGTTTTCGTCTTCTGTTCTTTGTCTAGTCGTGTTAATTAAGTTAAGTGCGATTGCTTTATTTGTTGTTGCTGTTTGATTGGTGGTTTTTTATATTTTTCCAAGTGTTTGCTTTGCTTTCTGTTTTAGTATACAATTCTCAGTTTCATGCATTGTTTACACGTTTGATATGTTATTTTAACATTTTGATTTGACATTGCATTTCGTGAAACTGGAGTTGTATAAAAAAATTACTCTGTATAATACTTCCCTTTCTTTTGGTATAATGCGTTTATTATGTAGGTTTCTAAATGTATCTTTATTGTCTATTATATTGTGTTCCCTGGCCCAACTAATTCTCGTGTATAAGGGTGTCGCTTGTTGTTTGATTAGGATGTCTTATTTGTGTGTGTGTCTTCTCCAATACTGCATTTGTTTCCTTAGAATGTTTGCTAGCGTTTCTTTATAAAAGCTGCCTATGTCATTTCCCCCATAGTGTGGTGTTATGATGTTTAATTTCAGAATGCTCCTTATGTTTAACTCTATGTAGTATTGTGCTAATGGATGATAATGTGGTTCTATCTTTATTCTATCCAGGTGTTTTAATCGGAAGGTGTTTAATTTAGTATGAATGTCGTGTAGCCCTATACCTCCATTTAATTTATTTTGTATTAAGGTTTTGTGGCTAATGTTTCTAATCGTGTTTTTACTTTCTCGTATATACGTAGTATAGAGAAAGTATTGTAATCGTGCAAAAAAAAAATCGAGATTTTTACAAATCTCGACGTTTTACACCTCACTGATACGGAAAAACATAATTTTGCAATCTTGTCCGTATGTCTGTGTGTGTGTGTGTCTGTGTGTGTGTCCGTGTGTAAACACGATAACTTGAGTACCGTTACAGCTAGCTTGATATAATTTCATATATAAGTATTTTATCAAAATCGTAGATCCGTATCAACTTTTGAGCGATTTCCGACAACCGGAAGTGGTACTTCTTCTACTTTGAATTTTTCAAAAGCCTATAACTTGAGTACTATTTCAGATAGATAAATGAAATTTCACATGTAAGTAAAAGATCTAATTCTCTACCTTCTGTTAAATTTTGAGTAATTTCCGTTTACCGGAAGTAGTAATTTACGCTACTTCCGATTTCTCAAAAAACTAATGTAAATTTTAAAAGTACTAATAATATTGCGCACTATTATGCGCTTTTTTTATTTCGCGTTCACTTGGTGTGCAATTAATTTGTATACGAGATTTTATTCTATTTTTAAAACTTTAAGTATTTAAAATGGATTAAAAATCATGTCTATAGCCCGAGTTCCCATCCCCTGTTATTTTATATAAAAATATTCGAGAAAGTTTAGGGGAGATCACTCCCGGTTTATTTGAAAATGAACTCTCTAATGTGTTTGTTTGTTTTAATCAGACCGATAGACTAGGGATAAGAAAGGTTACTATAGTCCATAAGTAAATCAAATCCGGGCGTCCTCCGGCACCCCGACAGGGTGCTATTTGGCGTCCCGGGTTTTCCCGTGTTCGCTATTGCTCCTACGTTCATTTACGTGAGTGCAAAAGACTATGAATAAGTTGGGGCACTATAGTCGTTTACTAAGCGGAAACAGGCGATTCCGCCGGCGCCCCAGCATGGTGCGATTTGGCGCCCTGACCGAGACTGTGAGCACTTTGCGTTTATAGTTCGCGTTTGTATTTTATTTCTGTTTGGGTTGGGTTTGCGTTTGTAGTTGGGTTTTGGTTTGGATTTGGTTTGTTTTGTTTTGTTTTCGTTTGCTTTTTTGCTTGCGTTTGTGTTTGTTTTCATTGTGTTTATCTTTGCGTTTGTGGTTGGGTTTGTGTTTGTGCTTTCTTTTGTATGTCTGTTTGCGTTTGTGTTTTTTTGTGTTTTGGTTTTGGTTGGCTGTGGTTAGGGTGGGCAATGCCGTGTATCTGCTGATTACACATATGTCATGGTCCTTTGCAGATAGGTTTTTCACAGAGGCCAGTGCAGGGCCTGGCCGGAACGGCTACTATATATATATATATATATATATATATATATATATATATATATATATATATATATATATATATATATATATATATATATATATATATATATTGTTGTTTAGAAATGATAACCGACCAGCAATGGATATCCCTATCACAATCCTGCCCTAACCTTGCCGTGTCTTTGGACGTGTACGCAGAACTATATCGTGAGGACACTCTTTCCCCCTACATACCTCTGGTCAGTCTGACTACATTGTACCAGGCCAGCAAGGGCCAATCTGACATGGTGAGTCATGTCACACACACACACACACACACACACACACAACAGGCAGCAAGGACCAATCAGACATGGTGAGTCATGTCACACACACACACACACACAACAGGCTGCAAGGGCCAATCTGACATGGTGAGTCATGTCACACACACATACACACACACACACACGGAGAGAGCAGACATTGAGGGATGGACCATGTATTAGACACGGGTTTTTTTCATAAGATGACCCGCCCCCATCTATTTTAGAAAGAAATAATGCTCATTTTGCACAAGTTAAAAAATAATATTTCACATGCCTTTTTGCGTGCATATAATTAATTTATTAATTTAATTATTCATGATTATCTCATGGAATATATATATATATATATATATATATATATATATATATATATATATATATATATATATATATATATATATACGTCTCTCTGTAGCTTTCTATTGCCATGTTGGCGCTCCAGTATGAGCATAAAATGGAAGAAATGAATCTTGGCCATTACGTCGAGAATGATTTGACTGAGATGTTTATTCAACATATCGAAAAGTTCCAGCGATTGCGGACGTTTTCTCTGACCATCCCCATCAAAACTAGGAAAAACGTAACTATTTTGTGTCTTAGTGGTTAGCGATGGTGACAACGTTATAACACTCGTTATGGTCATGTTAGCGTTACCAGCATGTAACGTTTACCTATCTATCAGCCAGATAGAAGGTGAACGTCCCCGGATTCTTTTTTCGGGGTCATATGCAAATGCCTTACGGCCTAAATGGATGAACACTAACACAACGACACACTAGGGCTCGAATTCGATGTCTAGGGAAAACTAGTGATACTATTGTAATTAACACTCATCCAATCTGCATACAACCTTTAATAAGCGAACACAGTTGTGGCAGAACACAAGGTTAAACTAGATAAAATATTTAATGTATAAAATATCAAAACCCAACTTACAAAGTGTAGGAAAAAACACTATCACAGATTTCAACACTGCCTAAAAAAATAGCCACAGGCCACACAACACTGCTATAGCTTCAAGAATTACTTGGCGACAAGTAATATTATGCTAGAAGACTAAAACAACTTAAGAAAGCATAGCACACACAGGACTTAAGCTCTCTCACGTTCAAATGGTCAGAATCTATTGCCGGACAATATGGACGGCTTGGTCCTAACAGACCGCTTAATCAAGGTAGACTGCCACCTGTGGCGAGTGTGCGGTGCAATTAAAGACTTCTGCAACAGGGGAGATTATCCTCAACTCATGTAGCCATTGGTTGGGATAGTCATCTGACCAGAATCATTCAATCAGATCTTAATGGAAAATTTCTATGTCTTAGACACCTTAATAAGTCAGTGGAAAAACCCCGGTTGTTGCACCATCACTCCCTATAAGGAATTATACAATGTCAAAATAAAAATGGAACCTGACTCGACCTAAGTAGGTCACAAGCATCTAAATTATCTGGGCCACGGGACTAGACATAAGGATTTCCCTTGTAATAAACGCTTTACTGAACAAAATATGTGGGACTAGACATACGGATTTCCCTTGTAATAAACGCTTTACTGAACAAAATATGTGGGACTAGACATACGGATTTCACTTGTAATAAACGCTTTACTGAACAAAATATGTGGGAATAGACATACGGATTTCACTTGTAATAAACGCTTTACTGAACAAAATATGTGGGACTAGACATACGGATTTCACTTGTAATAAACGCTTTACTGAACAAAATATGTGGGACTAGACATACGGATTTCACTTGTAATAAACGCTTTACTGAACAAAATATGTGGGACTAGACATACGGATTTCACTTGTAATAAACGCTTTACTGAACAAAATATGTGGGACTAGACATACGGATTTCACTTGTAATTAACGCTTTACTGAACAAAATATGTGGGACTAGACATACGGATTTCACTTGTTATAAACGTGTTATGAAGTCAATTTTTGTCATGTTTATTTTTTACAGAAACGTTTTTTAAAAGCTTTCTGCGACATGCTAAAAAGAAACAGTGTATTGAAGAACGTAACTTTTACTTTCGTGGGTCGGAGAGGCGTTGGCCGGCAACTGCTTGAGGAAATGGACAGGCTGTTGGTAGACATGAGAGAATGGGTGGAGCGGGGCTTGCTCATCAAATTCAATTTGGATGCAGAACGATAGAATGCTTGCTGGTGATGTATTATCTAATTGTCCTAATACTCAGTCATAAATTCTCATAAAGTGCTGGTGATGTATGATCTACATGTGTTGACAGTGATTCATATCTGGCATAGACAATTTATTTTCAAATCTTTTTTTTTATTTGATAATTGAAAATAAAAATAATTTGAGCAGGAACACTGTTTCCAAAGTGTCTTACTGCTAACAACGCTAACATCGTCTCTCTGTCAGTATGTACGTGTGTGTCTCATCTAACTGGTCTTATTGCTCCTGTTGAAAAAAATTTCTAGCAAGTTGGCGGCAACGAACGAATTGAAATCGGCTCAGTTTTAAATGTGTCGTTTAAGGGAGAGTTTTAAATTTGTCGTTTAAGGGAGAGTTTTAAATGTGTCGTTTAAGGGAGAGTTTTAAATTTGTCATTTAAGGGAGAGTTTTAAATCTGAGCCAATTTCAATTCACATCGTGATCACCGCTACTCGCGTGGACCTTTTAAAAATTCCATAATTTTCTTCTCAGAATCGTACTTTGTTCTATTTCAATTGTATACTGAAAGAAATTTAAAACATTTGGCACGAGTAAATTTCTTTATGCTATTTAAATTATTACTTATCAGTGAATGTATTGTTCATCATATGCACATTTTTATAATGCTTCAGCTGAAAATGCATGTGAAAATAGTTTTTTTGTTTAATTTTTCATTAATATGATAACTAATTAAAAAGAAATGTTTGTTTTTCTGATTTTGTTTCAGAAATAAAACATGTAACTCATTATGTTAATATTACTTTTATACTAATTGTAAGGTTATCAAAGATAGTATTTGCATTAAATATGTTATGCTTTAATCTTACAGTCGTGTTGCGGTTACTTTTGTCTAATATATTGTGTGTTTGTTGATTTTTTTTGTTGAGCAATACGTTACATTTCTAATTGTCATTACACTGTTATTAAATACGCTGTGTAAAAAGTGCTTTCTCTGGTGAATGATGTAATTATTGTAGTTAGAAACTAGAACTGTAGCGCCACGTACATCGAGCGATCTTAGTACAGTTGGGCCGGGAATTTAGCTCTGCTATATTTAGTCACCAACTGTCGTATGAGAAAACAAATGTTTACGTCTGTTGTTGGATCATGTGCAGCCAGCAGAGTTTCTTCCATGCATCTCCCCCCCCCCCACGCCCCAATTAGATGAGTGACTTCTTCACGCAGTCGATTGCTGACCTTTCTTCTAGCATAAAATTGACAGTAACCTGTCTTAAAGTGCTGTGACCTTTTAGCATTGCACAATATGCTGACTCAGCTTATTGTAGGACACTGTACGTGTTCTCTCACCCTATCGCACACAACCGACAGCTCACGCCCTACACGGAGTGAATGACAACACTACGGGAATATCCGATTTTATTCTACCAGAAACATTGGCGCGTAAAACATTTTCATCTTGGTAGTAGAGTTGTCAAATTGTCCAGAGAAAGTTGCAATTGACCAGAGAAAGTTGCAATTGTCCAGAGAAAGTTGCAATTGACCAGAGAAAGTTGCAATTGACCAGAGAAAGTTGCAATTGACCAGAGAAAGTTGCAATTGTCCAGAGAAAGTTGCAATTGACCAGAGAAAGTTGCAATTGTCCTTCTAAATCAACAAATTGCTTAAAACGGCCCCGTGTGTCAGCCCATAACATTCCACGTCTCTTGATGTCAAGTGACATGTCTTGATGTCAAGTGACATGTCTTGATGTCAAGTGACATGTCTTGATGTCAAGTGACATGTCTTGATGTCAAGTGACATGTCTTGATGTCAAGTGACATGTCTTGATGTCAAGTGACATGTCTTGATGTCAAGTGACATGTCTTGATGTCAAGTGACATGTCTTGATGTCAAGTGACATGTCTTGATGTCAAGTGACATGTCTTGATGTCAAGTGACATGTCTTGATGTCAAGTGAGATGTCTAGATGTCATATGGCATATAATTTTAAGGCCGGTCCCTATGTACCCCTACAATAACCAATAGGTCCTTATGTACCCCTTCAATAACCAATAGGTCCTTATGTACCCCTACAATAACCAATAGGTCCTTATGTACCCCTTCAATAACCAATAGGTCCCTACGTACCCCTTCAATAACCAATAGGTCCCTACGTACCCCTTCAATAACCAATAGGTCCTTATGTACCCCTTCAATAACCAATAGGTCCCTACGTACCCCTACAATAACCAATAGGTCCCTACGTACCCCTTCAATAACCAATAGGTCCCTACGTACCCCTTCAATAACCAATAGGTCCCTACGTACCCCTTCAATAACCAATAGGTCCTTATGTACCCCTTCAATAACCAATAGGTCCCTACGTACCCCTTCAATAACCAATAGGTCCCTACGTACCCCTACAATAACCAATAGGTCCATACGTACCCCTTCAATAACCAATAGGTCCCTACGTACCCCTTCAATAACCAATAGGTCCCTATGTACCCCTACAATAACCAATAGGTCCCTACGTACCCCTTCAATAACCGATAGGTCCCTACGTACCCCTACAATAACCAATAGGTCCATACGTACCCCTTCAATAACCAATAGGTCCCTACGTACCCCTTCAATAACCAATAGGTCCCTATGTACCCCTACAATAACCAATAGGTCCTTATGTACCCCTTCAATAACCAATAGGTCCTTATGTACCCCTTCAATAACCAATAGGTCCCTACGTACCCCTACAATAACCAATAGGTCCTTATGTACCCCTACAATAACCAATAGGTCCTTATGTACCCCTTCAATAACCAATAGGTCCTTATGTACCCCTACAATAACCAATAGGTCTCTATGTACCACTACAATAACCAATAGGTCCCTACGTACCCCTACAATAACCAATAGGTCCCTATGTACCCCTACAATAACCAATAGGTCCCTATGTACCCCAACAATAATCAATAGGTCCCTATGTACCCCTACAATAACGTTTGATGAGCCCACCTACCCGTAGAAAAACCAGTTGTTCTAGAAACCATTTGTGTTTAGTCAACTGTTGAATCCGGGATTGTGTGGAAAATATTTATTTATAAATTATATGTTTACAAATATAAAGAAAATATTATATGTTTACCAATATAAAGTACATGTAAGATGTTTACCAATATAATGTACATGTTATATGTTTACCAATATAATGTGCATGTTATATGTTTAGCAATATAAAATACATATTACAAGCTTAGCAATATAAAATACATGTTATATGTTTTGCAATATAAAATACATGTTATATGTTTACCAATATAAAATGCATGTTATATGTTTTTCCAATATAATGTCCCATTACAGTCTTTACCTATATAAATTCCACATTAAATTCTTTATTATATAAATTACACATTAAATTCTTTATCATATAAATTACACATTAAATTATATATCATATAAATTACACATTAAATTATATATCATATAAATCACACATTAAATTCTTTATCATATAAATTACACATTAAATTATATATCATATAAATTACACATTAAATTATATATCATATAAATTACACATTAAATTATATATCATATAAATTACACATTAAATTCTTTATCATATAAATTACACATTAAATTATATATCATATAAATTACACATTAAATTATATATCATAAATTACACATTAAATTTTTGATTATATACATTACACATTTCATTCTTGATCGTATAAATTACACATTAAATTATATATCATATAAATTACACATTAAATTATATATCATATAAATTACACATTAAATTCTTTATCATATAAAAAATTACACATTAAATTATATATCATATAAATTACACATTAAATTAAATATCATTTAAATACACATTAAACTATATATCATATAAATTACACATTAAATTTTTGATCATATACATTACACATTTCATTCTTTATCGTATAAATTACACATTAAATTCTTTATCATATAAATTACACATTAAATTATATATCATATAAATACACATTAAATTATATATCATATAAATTACACATTAAATTTTTGATCATATACATTACACATTTCATTCTTTATCGTATAAATTACACATTAAATTCTTTATCATATAAATTACACATTAAATTCTTTATCATATAAATTACACATTAAATTCTTTATCATATAAATTACACATTAAATTCTTTATCATATAAATTACACATTAAATTCTTTATTTTATAAAAACACATTACATTGTTTATCAAAAAAAGTATATTTTAGGTTGTCAGTTTTCAAAGGCATTATGTCTATATGACATCAGGTCTAGATGACATCAGGTCTAGATAACACCAGGTCTAGATGCCACCAGGTCTAGATGACACCAGATGACATCTGATGCCACCAGGTCTAGATGCCACCAGGTCTAGATGACACCAGATGACATCTGATGCCACCAGGTCTAGATGCCACCAGGTCTAGATGCCACCAGGTCTAGATGACACCAGATGACATCAGATGCCACCAGATGACACCAGATGACATCAGATGACGTCAGATGAGGTCCTCCTCACGGTTGAGGCCGAGCTGGACGTTGAAGAACTGCGAGACCCTCCTGACGATGGACTGCCTCCTCCTCCCCACCTCCTGCTCGATCCTCTCCCGGTCCTCCTGCCTCATGATCATCCTCTCGGGGTCAGCCAGTGCAAACCGCCTGGTTCTCAGCCGGTCGGAGACGAGCGGCACGCCCGAGTCGCTCCGTGACGTCAGCGGGCCGCCACGTTGGACCTCGTTTTGAGGAGACGCCGTGTTGAGCTCGTGCTGCGAGCCTCCCATCTGGGTCAGGATGACATTTCTGTGGGCGTGGCTCTTTGACCTCACCTGCTCCAGAATCTGGTCAAGGTCGATGCACCACTCGTCGTCGTCATCGTCGTCAAGGTCACCGACGCCGTAGGACCTGACGCCGCCGGTGTAACCAAAGAACGACAACTGGTCTCGACCTTCCAGCGCCATGTCGCTGATGCTTCTCTTGATGGCACCACGACCCGGAAGTAGTTTATGCCCGCCCGGAAGTGGTTTGTTATCGCGCCAGTACGGCCCCTGTGACAGCTGCTTGTTGCTGCAGCGCGATGACCTTGACCCAGTTCGTTGTGTGATGCTCTGGACCACGTCTTTCGCTTCGTCCAGATCGATGACGTCATCGGATAGCCTGTTGTGATGTGAGGTGTTTCCGGTTTCGTTTAGACCGGAAGTGGAATGGGCGGCAAGCTGAGACAACTCTGAGTGAGCATCCGGTGCTGGCTGCTGGTCGCTGGCCCAAGCTTTGGGGGACAAGTGGGCGGTGGCTTGATCTAGTGAACTCAGGTCACCGTGACATACCTCTGGGGTTGTGGGGGCGGTGAGGTTTGTGGGGGCGGTGTGGTTTGTGGGGGCGGTGTGGTTTGTGGGGGCGGTGTGGTTTGTGGGGGCGGTGTGGTTTGTGGGGGCGGTGTGGTTTGTGGGGGCGGTGTGGTTTGTGTGGGCGGTGTGGGTTATGGGGGCGGTGTGGTTTGTGGGGGCGGTGTGGTTTGTGTGGGTATTAAGTCCACACCTTGTGACTTTGGTGTTAGAAGTTTCCTTTAATTTTCCACTTTGTTTTTTACAAGGTCCATTCGTGTTGTTGCTTAGAGGGTCGGATGTGTTCC